ATGGCAGGGTGGCTGGGGACCTCGGGATGATGGTCACCGATGGTTAGCTACACTGAGTGATATGGCTGGGTGTCGCAACCAGTGGCGCTCGTGCATCCACTCGTTATTCCCCTAACACCACTCTATATGTATTCCCAATCTTCGACTTGAATTTGCTTCGACATTCCAATCTTCATTTTGCTCTTTTACCTAAATGGGCAACCAAAACCGGCGCACGCAAGTGCATGGTTAATGGTTGTAAAAACTGAAACTGAGATCGACCACATCGCCATCAGTTACCGCTGCGGGGGGGATCGATTCAAGACTACCGCTCTTACAGGTCAACACCTGTGGGTACGGTCCACGCCTTGTTGCAAGCCAAATTCTCCTTACGCCTTGGCAAGAACCGTAAAACAACCACCGACAACGGATACTCACGATACTCAGCGATTACCGCAAATCGGCCTTCCAAACGGAGCTCTCCGATCGCCTGTCAGTTCAACCACCCGCTGAAGGACGCAATAAACATTGGAAGCAAATCAAGGAAGCTACACAGATATCAATAAAAGCAACGTCAGACCCTCGCGCAGGCTCAAAACACAAACGATGGATCTCATCGACCTCGGCTGCCCTGCTGCGCGCCTATAGAACCTTTCCTCCTGATGCCACATATGGCAGTGCGCGAATTCCTCAAACGCCAGCTCATCAAGAGTCTGAGGAATGGTTGCAAGAAGTGATGGATAAGAAATTGTAAAGAGATGGAGAAGGCTGCGGATAGTGGTAATAGTCGCAACCTTTTCTCTCTAATTTGGAATACGGGGCCCAGGAAAATAGGCGTGATTTGAATAAGGAATCCGATGGCACACTGATTCACTATCACTATGAACGAAGTCGACCGAATTTTTCGATGATGGAATCTTAATCTAGGTGACTGCATACTCATCCCAGGTTTTTCAACTTGGCGTGAAAAGACCCGAATGTCGGATGTTAAACTGAAAGATCTTTGGCTTTGACTTTACTTTTCGTTTAAGTTGAAAGGTAGGACGTCTACATCAGTACAAAGTGGTCACTTCTTTGTGATTGCGACAGTTTGAGTTTGCGTGCAGAACACGTTCATCGAACAGTGGTTTCAAACTAGTGATGTTTTCGTAATATGACCAATTTGGGATGGGGCAATCGGGTTAGTACCACCGAGTTGACACCGGTGGAAAATGTCACACCAAATTCGGATGAACATGTTCCTTTGGTTAAGTGTTACACATACTTGGCAGATAGCCTTATGATTTGAATGACTTACAAATTCACGCTTCCCTTGTCCAGTAGAACATTTCTGTAGTTGAATTGAGTTACAGCTCCAGGTATAAAACTCCCGTTATGTAACCTTGTTCTACTGTTGTATGTGATTTCACTGACATTGAAATGTGGAGCATGTCAGCATTAAATCAAGTCTCAGATTAAAAAAAATCAGTGGTTGATGCATAAGCGTCCTTATAGCGAATCTTGTTAGCATTTGCTGCACTGGGACCCAACACCCCACGAGGAAGTAAATGAATATCAGGGAGACGAGGTATGAAGAAGTGCACAGGAATTATGGTGAGTAGGCGTCCACCACCTTCCAGGTTGACATCCAAAAGACTAGGTGGTTAGTTAGAAACACTGAAGCGAACCGTCATCAGTCGTCCCAATTAGAGAACACAACAGCACAGCGTTGTACAATTTTTTTCTTTCAAAATTTAACTGTATCTTCTTATTTACATACTCCAATCGAAAAATATGGTGAAAACTATTAAGTTGCAGTTACCGCTGATGGACTGTTGGTGTTAACTTGTCCATATACCAAATCAGGGCAAGAGTTGGATATTGGACATCAAGTTAGCGCTACCATGTCATTCAGAAGTGTTTTCTTCACCTATGTAATCTGTAAACGGCTTGAGAAGGAATTACTGAAAAACAATTGTTTCGTCAAACTGTGTTTGTTTCAAGTCCTGTTACATTTGTTTACCAGTGAATGTTCTATCCAAGTCTACTGTCACCCGACTCACACATAATAAGCTGATGCTTAATATGGTTTGCCGCCCTCAAGTCTGTCTTTTGGTAGTTTTATCCCAACATTGTGAATTATAACGGAATACAATCACGCACGCTCTGGTGAGGTATAAATAATCACGAAGGAACCCATCAACTACAGCAAAATTATCTTATTCGTTGTGCACGTATCTAATGTGAACCAATCCTTCTGCGGCGTGTGAAAAACAAGCAACTGACAAAAGCAATCGACTTCTGAAGGAACAGAATATCAATTTTCACACAGTATCTTGAACATTGTACACGGAGTATTTGATACCCGGTCTGCTCGAAGAGCAGATACCGTCGACATTCCTACTCCCACACACTTCGGGGAAGATGAGAAG